TGCTGTACTGCAGAATATATCTTCGGATATTTCAGACATGAGTGCAAAAATGTAATTAATACTGCCGAAGTATTTAAGTGAAAAGTAAACACTTTTGCGTGTATTTGTGCGAAAAGTAGACAGTTCGGAGACATTTAAAACACAAAGCGACATAAAGTGGACAATCTACATTATTTACCCTTCACAGACGAAAAAGCTGACATTTCGGCGCGTTTCCCCATTATTTTCCTTTATTTTCCAACTTATTTTCACCGTTATTCCCCGTTTATTGGGCATTTGTTGTGTCTGATCACCTTAGATTTCTGACAGCTTACACAGGAGCATGCCCACTCTTCCACATCTTTATTCACATAAGGCCAGTTAAATCGTTCTTCTATGAGCCTGATGGTTGCACGAACGACTGGATGAGAAACCCAAGCAACCAATAAAGTGGAAATAAAATGAAACAAAGGGGAAAGGAAGCAGACGTACGCGTAAGTAAAGGTGAAAATGTGGATTTCCCCCTTCACATTGGTTATTTAGGGGAAATGACGATTTTTCCCACCTACCCCATGTATTTGAGGGACTTACTTACTTATACCTGTTACTCCCAATGGAGCATAGGCAGCCGACCAGCATTCTCAACACACTCTGTCCTGGGCCTTCCTTTCTAGTTCTATCCAGTTCTTGCTCATTCTTCTCATGTCTGTCTCTATTTCTCGGCGTAATGTATTCTTTGGTCTGCCTCCTCTCCTATGGCCTTCAGGATTCCATGTGAGGGCTTGTCTTGTGACGCGATTGGGTGATTTCCTCAAAATGCGCACGATCCACTTCCAACTCTTCTTCCTGATTTCTTTCTCCACTGAAATGTGGTTTGTTTTCTCTCACAGTAGCTTGTTGCTGATAATGTCTGGCCAACGGATCCGAACAATTTTATGTAGACAACTCTTAATAAACACCTGTATATTCTGGATGATGGCTTTCGTAGTTCTCCAAGTTTCCGACCCATACAGTAGAACTGTCTTGAAATTTGTATTGAAAATTCTAACCTTGGTGTTGGTTGACAATTGTTTTGAGTTCCAGATGTTCTTCAGTTGTAAATATGCTGCTCTTGCTTTGCCGATCTGTGTGTTCACATGTGCATCAGATTCGCCGTGGTCATCAATCATGCTGTCCAAGTATGTAAAGGTTTTAACATCCTCCAAAGCTTCTCCGTCAAGTGTGATTCGATTAGTGCATGTTGTATTGTATCGGAGAATCTCGCTTTTCCCTTTGTGTATGTTGAGACCTACCACTGCTGAGGCTGCTGCTACATTGGTCGTCTTCTCATGCATTTGTTGTTGCGTGTGCGATATAAGAGCCAGGTCATCTACGAAGCCTCGATCGTCCAGTTGCACCCAAGCTGACCATTATATCCCATACTTCCTCCGAGATGTTGACGTCGTTCACCAGGAGAAAGAGAGAGGGTGAGAGTAAGCAACCTTGCCTAACACCGGTCTTTACCTCGAATGAGTCAGTGAATTGTCCTTCATGGACGGTTTGGCAGTTTTATCCATCTTAGGAGTTCCGTATGATATTGACTATCTTCTTGTTGGTGGGCCAACATCGATTGGGAGGTCTGTAGGTGCTGCTTCGATGTTGCGTGGTTTCAGTGGAGCTCGTCGATTCAAGAGTTCTTTTGAAGTGCTCTCTCCACCTGTTTCGTTGTTCAATGTTGGTGATTACTTTGCCTTCCTTGCTTTTTACTGGTCTCTCTGGCTTACGGTAATTTCCTGCAAGTTTCTCTGTTGTATCATACAATGCCATATCAGCTCCTCTTTTGCTTCTTACATCTTCCATCGTCCTCCTGAACTTTTTGTTGATGCAGATATGGTCGATTTGATTCTGTGTAGTGTGATCCGGTGGAATCCAAGTAGCTTTGTGTAAGTTTTTGTGTGGGGATATGGTGTCGCCTATGACCAGTTTATTGAAGGCACATAGGTTTTCAAATCTCTCACCATTTACGTTCCTTCCTTCCAGTCCATGTCGTCCCATGATTTCTTTGTATCCAGAGTTGTCCATTCCAATCTTGTCATTTAAATCTCCCGTCAGAACGGTCAGGTCCTTTGTTGGGCACTTCTTGAAGATCGACATCAGCCCATTGTGAAATTGGTTTTTAGCGTCATCATCGTAGTCGTTGGTCGGCGCATAGCATTGGATGACGTTCATTGTAATGCCCTCTCTCTTTGTTTTGAAGGAGGATTTGATGATCATCGGTCCATGAGATTCCCATCCAATAAGTGCATGTTGTGCTTTTCTGGACAGCTTCAATGTCACTCCTTGTGTATGTGGGTCGTTTTCTTCTTCATGACCGGAGTATAACAGAAGTTCTCCTGAAGACAGTCGTTGTTGTCCAACCTGCGTCCAATGCGTTTCACTGATTCCAAGCACCTCCAGGTTGTATTTTCTCATTTCTGCAGCAATTTGGAAGACTCTTCCGGTCTCCTACATTGTATGAGCATTCCATGTACCTAATTCAGTGGTTGCTCTGATTGTCAAAAGGGGCTTCAGCCTCGTGGCTTTCGAAGGAGTTCAGCTTTCAACATCAGGCGTCATAGCCATTCTAAATGAAGACCTTCTGACTCTAAAGGTAGAGTTTAAATGGTCTGAATACGTTTTTCTGGTTAGCATTTAACGAGTTGGTTTTTTAGGGGATGGGGTTGGTAACCGCGTGCCGAAACTTCCTTCTTTATCCGTACTTGGGACAGGCAGTAACCACGGAGGGGCTGTAGGCAGAGATATTTCGAGATACTATACGTACTTTATTGAGCGAAAAACGTTTTGAAACCTAAGGCATCATGAGTAAGAAGTCAACTGCTATGGTATGGTCAAATTGATGAAGTGAGAATGTAATTGGTTATTTTATACTGAAAAATGCTGTAGGCTACAGGTGAAAAGATTACCGAAGATATTTTAAGCCTTTCAGAGTTCAAGTAAACAGCAAACGATATGTGTACATAGTTTATCAAACTGTGACAGTCTGTTTCACGTATAAACAAAGTCAGGTGTATACACGGTTAGGGGAACGACTGCTATGGAATGAAATGATCATGAATAAACTTAAAGATCACATATTCTGGTAGTAAAGCCTGCTGTAGTCGAACAGGAACGATTTAATCTGATTTTTCAGGAAGTGTTAGTAATAAAACGTATGGATAACCCTTATAATTAAAAATGGATTTTAGGACTTCATTTGTGCTATATACAATAAAACCCCGAATTTCAAACCTGAACCCAGTCAATGAAGACGTGTTTCGATACTACTGACATTCACTTCGTCACATGGTTTTATCATTATCTGGAGAGTATATGTTGGATTAAGTTTACACCTAAAAGCTGGCTTTACTTTGACGCGCGTATATTCGCTGATGCCAAATAAAAAATCAGCCTGATAACTCTGCGAATCGTGATAATACTCTTAACTCAATTTTTTAGCAAGTACATTGTATATGACCGAATTCGATGAAAATCGTTTTCTTTGATCTGGTAATCAGTTACTGCCAGTTGTTTGTGTTAAGTTTTACTATCAACCAAGTGCGTTGAATCAGAACTTTTGGGCAAGTTGTACGAAGTATCCATTTTCCATACATCGTAGACAATATTATTTGTAAGTCCACTTTTGATACCGGACAAGCAGCAGCCTGTTGTGGTTAACAACCAATAGGCAATTTAGAAATGTCCTTCATCGACGTTGAAGATTTCACAGATATTCAGTGTTTGGCAGGCCAGAAGTCAAAAATGATGGGGTTCGAAGATTTATTATGTAGATGGCCGACGCACTGAGAAGTGTATGATCTAGGCTGACTGTTCATTCTACTAGTTATGCTGAAAGGCGTACGTAATTCTTACCTAGCTTAAGTGATTTTCTATGAGACTTGTGTTAAAGGTGCATTCACTAAGATTAACGAGGTATGCATTATTGTGAATGACTTACAGAACTACATATTTTGTTGACTATATTACTGCCAAAATAATTTATTCGAGCGATCTGTATTTAAATTGATATTATTTACAGAACCTTCACAGTCTATTCGCAAATCCCTGGTCCTGGCACCACCGAATTTCCTTCACCAACAAAAAGTTCTTTTTCCTTGTAGCAGTTTACACTAGGTTGGCAAATCCAAAATTGCTGGATATACGGATCCTTCTGCTTACTGAGGATAATTTGTTGAAAATTCAAACATTTAAAACTCGGAGATTAGCTCACTGCTTCCCGTCGTCCATATTCACAAATACCAAAGAAAAAGGTTCTCTAGGAATTCCATCTTAATCTTGCCTGTTAACTGCCATGCCTCATTTAACAGTCTATTATTTGAGAAGGTTGCAGGAGACTGTCTCCTGAAGATTATTTAAAGAGCTTGGAAAAAGCATCGGTATTTACTTTTCACAACGAAGCAATCTACTAAAAAGTGGGCTGTAGCTAGTTCTCGAAGTAAAAGATTATTCTTTCAGATATAATAAGCGTTTAGAGTTTCGGATTATCGTCGCGCAAGTATCTGACCACGACTGGAAATCTTTAGTCAGAAGTACAAGGATGAATGGAAAGTGAACATATTCTCAAGAAATCAAAATACTGTGCCGGCCCTGTAAGACTCTCTATTTTCGCACTGGTAATCTGTTTGATAGCTCTAGTAATTATCGAAAAGTAACTACCAATGCATTCATAACTTTAGATACGAACGAGAAAGTTTCGTTAACCTTATTTCGCCTGTTTAATAGCTTCTACTCAGTTTTTCAGTTCGAGAAAAACTCAGAACCAAGGCGAACGCAAAATTTAGATTGGACATAACTCTGAGTATCTCGCGCTGCAAAAAACAGTGGGACAAACAAATACGACACCTATTTCCGATGTCAAGTTGTGAACCACAAGTATCGTCATTTCTATAAGCTAGTGAAGTGTATAGCTATACCTTTCAGTATGCATTGCACAAGAAAAGATAGGATTAGTCCTCTGGAACCCATGTACGCACATCTTGTAGTACATGCCAGATTCACCATTTAGTCTGGAAGATAAATGGTTAAAACAAAGTAATGCATGAAGTTTTTATCTCCCAGGTTTATTCAGTAATAATCGATTAGTTATTCTAATCACAGAGCCCAGTCTAAAATTCATATCTTCAATTGTGGGTAGGTAAATATTACATCCTAGATATATAACAGGAACGGACAAATTTCATATCTCTTCTGGCATACAGACCGAAATAATTCCCCAATCCTACTACAGTAATTTCGAATTTAACTTTTAATTTGCCTTAAGGTGAACAATTTTTGATGGATTCTCATCAAATGATGAGCATTTCTTTTATGCCAAACACACTTGGCGATTTCGGAAGAAAAGTTTTCATTAAGTCCCTGTTTCCAGCTAATTCAAAATTAGTAGTAATTCTCCGAATTTGACTTGACTCTGAAATAGCTTAGAGCTTTGAGCGGCTTGTTGTACAGACTGACTCGAAACGCGGACGGTTTACGTCTAACACTTAATCAGAATATACTGAATATCGTTGACGTACAGTTATTACAAAGGTAGTTGAAGTAGCGACTGATGGTGAATACACATAGACAACATATGCTATTTGTCGATAAGTCTGCGATGAAGTATCTGCAAATTATCGACTTTCATGAAACATATAAAGTAAGCAAAGGGATACTTCCTTCTGAGGCAAATATCAGCCCAACATTATTCAGTAAGTTGATGCTTAAATAGTGCTAGAAATAATAAACCATTGCCTAACAATCCAAGGTACCGCAGAACTACGGAAATGGATGGGTTCACCCATAAGCAGCGAAGAGATAATAACACGAAGACTGGATGCAGTGGAATTTTTTCTGGGAGGGAAGGGAACCCAGTTACTTTCAGAAATAAGAACGATACTCAAGAGGGTTGGAAATATACAGGTATTTTTGAGTATCATAACGTTGTAATCCTGATGAAATTTGTGTTGGTATTTCCGTATGAAAATATTTTTATTCAATAAAAACCTAGTGTGACTTCATGACGGTATCTTATAAATTTCTTACCAGCTAGTAATCTGGAATGTTAGCACACACAGGCGTTCACTTATCAAGACACCAACAAAGTGTTTAGGGGTACGCAAAATATAGTCACTACATGTACAATCCTTAAGTGAAGAAATATTGAAAGTTCACTTGACGGTTGTAAAACGCAACCACTAGCAATTATGTAAAACCACTGGATTTCACTCAGGCTACTTTGGTCGGACAACGGAGTAAAAACATCTATAGACAGTGCACACAGACAATAGTAAAAAGTACCGTCCTTAAAGCCTCAGGTTAACAATAGGTTGATTTGTTAAAAATGGACTATATGTCTCCGCCCAAAATCTTGACAACATTAGTCTATCTCGACTATCCACAACTCAAACACACAATAAGTAAGAATCGAAGAAAAAACTTGGTGAATTATCGTCGGAACACTATGCAGGTCATGAATTTTAAATAGCAAAGTCTGACTTATGAAATCTGCCATTTACTAGACTCGCCTTCAAAAACAGCAAGTGGTAAGAACACCTACATATCATGTTAGAATACCAAGCAAACTTAAACTTATAATCTACCCTGAGTTTGCACCACTAAATATTTTGAAAACTTCCCAACCCATGAATAATCCTTCATTTTCAGAAAATTATCCTCAGAATGCAAACATCTTCAGCTATACCAAGTGACTGGAGAATAATAATACATGTAAGACAAACATTGTGAAAAGTGATGACGAATCAAAGACTTTAGATGCAATGGAAGCTCTTATTACAATGTGTAAACCATACTGTGAGGAATTGTATCCTGTCCAGGAATTGTTTCTAGCGAAATTCGACCCAGCAATCATAGGTAGCGTTAAATCATGGCTAATTCATGTGGTCGACACGGAGAAGACGGAAAAAGAACAAAGATTTGTGGTTCGACGTGGAGTTGACACTACCTTGGACAAATGTAAGTGGTGCCCTATGTCTATGAAATACTGATTTACTGAATAGATCTACGTTACAGTTATTAATTAGTTTTTAGTTAGTCACAACGTAAAACTTCGTACGTACGTACACCAGTTCGATTTGCCATACCACATTAGCACAGAGATGCAGTTGTCGATTCAAATCCCATAGTGGTAGAAGTAGTAAGAGTACAAGCATTATGTGAAAGATTAGGGTGTGAAGATGTTATTCAAGGAGTATCATTCAGTGAAACACATTTGGGAAGAGAAAAAGGATAGGGACATGAGGAATTCAGAAGATTAGAATTTGGTAGAACACAAAGAGTGGACGCGCCTGGGCCATTGCAAACGATTTCGAGCCATATCACGCAAAGTCTCTGACCATCGATTGTTATCATCTCGCGAATCCCAACCAGATAGTCTACACCTACCAACATGGCTCAGTCCAATTGTCAGTGACTTCATGGATTTGTGCCACGTTTTGGTCTGTCCGCCCCTAGCTTTCTTCAACCTACTCCTACACCATAAAGCATTTCACGTTGGGCATACGTAACGTATCCCAGTCATCTCAGCTGAAGTTTCACTACTTCATCAATCAATTTGCCATCCTTACCTCATATCCGTCTCCTAACAACTGCATTACTTACTCGGTGGTCTCAGGATACACGAGCAATGCTTTAAAGACACCTATGGTTGAATACTAGCAGCCTACGAATATCCTCTACTCTTATCGGCCATGTTTCACTGCCGATATTGAAAAATACAAAACCAAGAGCCACTATGAAAATACTTCCTGCAAAAGGAATGTTACTAAAAAAATCTGAAGCCGACTATCCCTAACACTTGGGAAAATAATGATATAGCGAGTTAGATTTACTTTTACAGGTCAATAGTCTGACTTTCAGCAAATGTAGGAATTAGTAACAAATGCGTCTGTCAAAAACGAACAGTGACCAAGTGTACGCTAATATGTACTTTAAGTGAGACTGTCGATTACAACCCTAAAAAAGTGAAGTGTAAAAGTATTCTCTGTTAAGTGACTAGGCTGGATAACTTTTATATAAAATAAACAATATTATACAGCTTATCCACAACTTTGAATATTACACGTACGTAGCTAATCTGCAGCTATAAATTAAGTGCAAGTCGATTAATATCAATGAACGCGAACAACTACTACATACCCGGGGTGGGCGGCGAAGTACTAGAAGTCTAAATAAATCACAACAAACCTGGATAGACTAATGAATATGTCGCACTTACGTTAACGTAATAGATAATTTGATAGAGTAATCATATTAATGCAATCTCCCTATATTAGCCTCAGTGATATATTTTATTTTGTTTAGGGAATGAAACATATGCTTGTCTTCCAGACTTGCTGTCACAGTTGGCAGAAGATGAACTTGGTAAATTACGAGAAAATATACGAACATGTGGACTAATTTACTTTCCTTTAGTAAGTAGTTACCCGATTACCAGTATATTCTGACACTTAAACAGAAACTATTAAGGCAAACTTCCTTTTAATTTATCCAGGTGGGTTATCTGTTGAAGATTCCAAAAGTAGAAGTAGAAACTCCCGATATACAGTTGAGCGGGCTGGAATTCGCTGTAAGTTGTGAAGTTAACGTAACTGATAAAAGACACATTTACCGGCTTCTCAACTTCGAATTTAGCGTTTGATGCATTAGTAGCAAAAGAGCTTAAATGTTAAATGAGCTCATGTCTGTAATTTCGGTAGCTAACAAGTTGACCAGTGAAATTGGGCATAGTTTTCTACAAAAAATGACTCACAAAATTGTCAAGATTCTGTATTTCCTAAACCTCACTGTTGACATCTTTAGAGGTTCTCACAATACTAGGTAGGGAGTCAATAGTATGATAGTAATAGAAAGTTTAAGAATTAGGAAAGACTAAAGCTTAACAACTAGTCATTCTGAAAAAGACCTACTAATACCAGCTATAAACAAAATTCACTACATAGATACAGTGGGAATACTTGAAGTTTAACATCGAAATGTCAAGGCTAGATGTTCTTCTTATTGAATAAAACCCCATATATTCGTTAAAATAATAACAGAGAACTCCAACTGTTTTGGTCAGTTTACAGATAACGAGATGGCATACTACCGAAACGAAACCACACGCAGTAAGTAATGCCCTATTTTGTTGAATTAATTTTTCCGTCTTAGTTCTGGATCAACGCTACGGTGATGTGATGTACGCCATTGTTGGTAAGTGCGAAAAGCCACATAATTTAAACACAATCAAAATTTGTGAATAAACAGTATTAGTGTGTTCTTGATATCAGCAAAGAAAGAAATGGATTGTGAAAACCACGTAATAACAAGGTCATGACTTGCGGCTTCTTAAGATATTTTAGTGTATGAACAAATTAATCCAAAAACATCTAAAATGAACTTAACACTTACGTATTGACTAGTTTTCTCTTAGTCAGAAATCCCGATGAAAGTACGCCTGTGGTTGTTCATTAGCTAATATTTTAAGAGCTACTGTTCATAACGTCGCTCTTTGATGACAGGAAAGTTACGATCCAGCCACACAACTAATGGATAAGCACCAAGCCACTTCGTGGTGCAACATTAACACAACCAATCACACTCGACTAAACTTAACAAAAGAGCTTAAGCGAGCAACATCCAAACATTACTGCTATGTAAAAACACCTGAAGCGTCTTTCTAGCAGTATTTTAAAAGTAGGATGAGGTGAGTTTGGTATCAGACCGTAATTTCTATTTTCTTATTTACTCTCGAGAACTTACGCCATAATTGATGCGTTAACGCAGTGAGGTGCCAAAAATGAGTCCATTATTGCAGATTTAATTTTTAATACATTAGGAAGCATGTGTACTCTTTTGATGAGATGTCCGCATAGATAAGATGACAATCTCACTTAATATGGAGTAGAGGCGCACTTGCACCAACTCGATTTAGATTGACACATTATCTGAAACTTAATCAACATACCACAGCTTGGAAGCATAGATGATCCTGACCGGCGAACACTCAGAACACGGCTTACCTGTAAGCAAGGCTATTGTGTCAGAGTTAATTTTAAAACTTTCCAGTTGGTGAGTTATACACATTAAAAACAACCAAGAGATTTATACGATGGGGTGAATTCAAGCTTCAGCGTCGTGCCAAACGTGAGTTACTATTCTGAAGTCTAGCGAAGCAGGCTAGTTTCATTACTTAAACATCAAAAGTTAAAACATTAACTACCTCAGGCCTACCACTCTATACGACTAGCCAGATACTATGGGTTTGTAATTTCGGAATCCCAAGTAGACTTTCTTAGCTGTGAAGAGATTCCTTTCATCCTAGTCGAAACATATGTTTGGGATCAAAACCATTAACAATTCTCGAGTGTCTCTTTATAAGGTTCAGACAATCAGCCTACAGTGCTTCTGAGTATCTTAGGGTTAGCTTGACACTGACGTTTATGATAAATTTATCAAACCCACTAATAGTTGATAGAGTGAGGCCCATTGTTAGTGCCCTGATAAAGCTCTAACCCATACTAACATATAATCCTTTATGACGGACCAACTTTTGGGATGCTGTTAATGTTCACTGACATTCTTTGTCAATCTCCTACAGAAAGTCTAGAATAAAGACCTCTACATTGTCCCAGTAACCAACGAACTCTTTCCGAAATACTCACTTGATGTTCCCATCTCCATTACACCAGGTAGTAGACCAGTTGAGGATATTCCCTTCAGTCTAGCAACGCATGAGGGTAACAATAATAAGCAAACAATAAGAACAGCCGTGGCCTCGTAGGTAGATGTACTGGCAAATACTTACTAGTGTTGTGGTCCAAACGAATATTGCAAACTGAAACAGAACTGTGATCTAAACCGACAATATTTTATTTGAACATACCGTCTACTTTGTTGCTTATCGGGTCTGACAGCACAAGTGTTCAGCACTTTAAGTGACCCCATCCATAATTAATAGAAAGGAAGCGCGTGAGCAATAAAAATGTTTTGATATAACGCTACATGCATGGTAACTAATAGTTTGTTTAATCCTTAAGCATTTCAACGGTCAGTTTAATATGCCATCAATCCACCTAGTAATGGCAGTAAGAACTCATTTCGCAAATGTACTCTAGTCCTTCTAATTAACAATGATTATCAATGGAATTGCTGACCATTCGAAACTAAGTACATCGCTATGGAGTACTGAGAGACACACATTAATCCATAAATTCCAATCATCCTTTTGGATTTTACCACTCGTCAAACTTTCCAGTAAGTTAGGACATTAAAAGCGACCTGGTGATTGTGAGCACCCACTGGCGTAGAAACGTCTCTTCCTAGGACGGCACTATCATGGAGTAATTATCATTAGGAAGACTTACTGTGGCTATCCAGTGAAGTGAATTGGACCATACCTTTGGAAGTATATTTTGATGGTCAGTACCGCTGTCCATCTCTGCTAACAATATTCGTGACTTCAGGAAATATCATGACAATCACCACAGGATGCACATATGCCAATAAGAAACTGGTCAACTGCAGTCCTAAACATCAATAGGAAGACTCAAACAACTAATACAAAATGAACTAAACTTCACTGCATTGCAAAATCAAGTGGCTATCTGGACTCAATAGCTAAATATGCGACGCGATGACTTTCGGAGCGAACTGCACCGGGTTCGAGCATTAACTCTGGGATGCAGGTGCGTCCAAGTAGGACGAAGGATCCTACTGCTAGCTACCATTTATTTCTACCTATAACTATAGACAAGTTGGGAAATAATAAACTAAGATGGCTCTCCACAGAATAACTGAATGGAGCAGGGACCCAGTTGTACACATGTGTACTCACCAAAACCACGTCAACCGTATTTGGCAAATGATGCGACTGTATAGGGACGATTTTTGAGACGCTCAAGTTATATGGTTTTCAACTCAATCTGAAGAAAAGATACGATATTATGCGGGATTTGTCAGTATGTATTGAATTTTGTTGGACCGCAGGCAAAAACTCACCTAAGAATTTTACCAATTACTCGCTATTTTACTTTGACCCATTTTATTAGCAAATGAAAATGCGACCATGAGATTGAAAGTCATAGAAATAATTGCTTACTTAACTATATAAACATTTAGCTAATCCTATTTATGAAACTTTTAGACGCAGAAACCACGATCATGCATCATCTTCAGGATCGCTTACTAATTCACACGCAGAGTATACTCCAGGCATCCCAACTTGTTGCGGAGATAGACTGGTAAGTCGCTAATTTATTACTACACACGAAACGGACACTTAACTATATATATATATATATTCTGTAAAGCAACAAAACAGGACATTTTTGCTATAACCACTTAGGTGATTTATGTTAGTGAATTACCATCCTGTTTTGTACGTCAATATAAGTGTATATCTAAATAAACCGAACACTATAATCATCGAGATGAACTATTAAGACTGACACATGTGAGTACCTTACGAATGTAAAACTAGTAGGGGCCCAGACCAGCTGAGGATATTCCCTTCAGTCTAGCAACGCATGAGGGTAACAATAATAAGCAAACAATAAGAACAGCCGTGGCCTCGTAGGTAGATGTACTGGCAAATACTTACTAAAACTACTTATTATACTAGCAGAGCTCTTATTGTTTAATTAATTTAACTGAAGGTGAATTTCCCTTATTCCTTAAAACTTTAGTACCACTTGTATTACATTGCTGTTTCAGTTTATGCGCCTTCGCTATGGCTGCCAAGCATATGGAATGGACTCGACCGAAAATAGTGGACGAGAACTGTATACATATTCATAAAGGATGGTATCCTATACAGCAAACAGTATCCACAAACATAATTAAAAACTCATTTTACTCTGATGGATCTAAGCATAAGATAACATTGCTGACTGGACCGAACGGAAGTGGAAAAAGCATCTACATGAAAACTGTATGTAAATCTACGAGTGATTGTGGACCTTGATTACATTCCTGAAGCGTAAACTATGCCACCAAAAATAGAAAGTCGAATTAGGATGTTGATAGCACTTTGGCCCCAAATACCCTGGTACGGCCGAGAGTGAGGAAAGTCAGCTCCCGATCTCGGAATGCTCTCACATGGCCACGCGTATATAGCCTCTGCCATGGAAGTCCTACCAATTGCCTTCTCGTGGCGCGGGTGTTGTTTACGAAATTGAGAGGACGAAAAGCGAATGTCTGGCGCTTTAACAGGGTTGTTGGGGACGGAGAGTTCACCTAGGGGAGTTGGAAAACCCTGATTCCAAACCAATGGTGCACATGGGCTCCAGTATCCTGAACGAACAAATGGCGTGTTAACCAATTGTTGGTCACCGGCTACCATGGGACTGCATCTCCTTACGATACTCCACTGCCTTGGGGATCAGACTTTTAAGTGAAAGGCTCGACCCCCTAAGAAAACCACCTGCTTCGGTCTGGGTACCCGGGCAGTATCACAGTCCTCACACAAATCAAATGAGATTTGTGTGGCGCATATATCTCTGGTGTCCCTTTGTACCTATATTTATGTGTTAAATTGAATTACTGCACTTTGACTTACTTTACCTCAATTTTCCCTAACAATATATTCCCAATAAAAAGAGAAGAGTTAATAATTGTGTAGCTGAAAGATAGAGTCCCGGAGAAGTATGCCGAAATTATTTTCAGTAATGAGGCATCAGGGTGAGCCGTAAAACCCGGCAGAATAATCTAAGTCATAGATGATGAGCAAATTGAACTTTGTTCACGAAGCAATAGTTACATGGTACAGTCTCATTATCTCCATAAGTAATCCCTCGCGGTACTTGGTGCTCGACTGGGTAACGTATTGATATAAAAAGAACTTTATTCATGCCAAAGGGTACACCATCGAAATCTCCATTGCTCAGTGATTTTACAGGATTTGGATGTAGATGTTCTTTTAAAGTTACAGACATAGACCGATACAATGTGATTGTAATTTATATCCGAACTTTCGATGCTTCGTGTGGATAAATCATTTAAAAATGACCAAATTATAGTTTTGGACCAAAATATTCCGAAGTTTTGAGACGCGACCACAAACATAACTACAGAGGAACTAATTGCAATACGTGTTGGAGCATTAAATTGGAATTTTTGTGTATCAACACTAGTTATCATTAGATGTAATATAAGGTTTGAAATTACATGTTTTCGTATCCGACTACCTTAATATCCTAGTGATTTATTATTATTTATTTATTTAAACACATAAATATTGGTACAGGGAAGCACTAGATAAATATGCGCCTCACAGATCTCATTCGATTTGTGTGAGGGCCGTGATACTGCCCAGGTGCCCAGACTGAAGCAATGAGGACTTAAGCATTTATTTACCGAGGTAAAGTACATTGCTGGCAAACGTATAGGCATAAAAAATATATCTGCCTAATATGTTTACTCTTTTTGCTTATTTGTAGATCGCCTTAATAACTTACTTAACACATATAGGAAGCTATATCCCAGCTGAAGGGGCAAAAATTTGTACGTTTGATGCGATACACATACTTACAGGTACAGCTCTACTGAAAGAGATAACTGTTCGACCTATATGATGGCACTTCAAATGGCCTCAGTTGCTTTAAGAAACTTAATAAGCAAAACTTTAATAATAATGGACGAGTTTGCAAAGTCCGTAAACAAGGTAAGTTTAGCACTTGGAAACTACTAGGGGAAATTGAGAGTTAGGGAATGACAGAGAAATTACGTCGAACTACAAATTTGATAAAACAACTACTAATACAGGTTTATGAGTTTGGTTTCGGTGTAATTACGATGCCATACAATTGTTTACATCGATGTATGTGGGAGTTCTAGTCCGTAATATGTAGTGATGTAAATTTAAACCACTAACACCAAACTCTCATAAATCAAGAAACCTGACTACAATACCTAGCAAACGGGGTGCTAGGAAATCCACAAAATGCTATACAAATAGTGAGTAGGGATGAGTATTCCCAGTGTTTGAGAAGAGCATAGTATAAGACTATGCTACCCATAGAACCATGTGCAACAAATATATCTATCACGATATAATTACTGTTCAATACTTAAAACACGCAATACTATTATAACCGCCCATTGTGACCAAATTTTCATCTTTTCAGTTGGAGTTAGATGCACTTACAATTGCTATGGCAGAATTCCTATTACTGAAAAATGAATGTCCGTATACTATCATAGCTACCCACAACCATAAAATACTAAGGCAACTCCAAATGTATGGACCGCAAGTGCAGTACTTGGTAAGTTTTCAGCTTGACAAACATTCTAGTATTCTTAACATAAGACAATGAGGACAGTACCTCACGAAGGAAGAGTGGTGTGTCTTTATGAAGCAGTCAATGGTTTGAATTTAAGAAGCGAGGCAATTAGTACAGCGAATGCTATAGGACTTCCGGAGAAAATTACTGAGAGAGCATTAAGTCTGAAAGACTTCTTGAGTACAATACCCACTTCTCGTATGAAGAACAGAAATAAGAGGTAGTTCCTCGCCTGAATCAACTTATTTTACAGGGTGAAGACGGTTTTGAAGCTGCTTCATGGGACAGACACGGGTAGCGGTGGGATAACGCTAAACAAAATCTTTAACTCTAATTTTTATGAACTTTTAGAAAGTCTAGACTAATGTAAAAGTGAAGGTCGGGAACCAGATAAATAAAGACGTTTTAAAGAAATCACTGTTGTTTTTTATCTCTGCTATCGAATTTTAGAAAAATACGGAAATAAATTTTTTAAGCCTTAATGAAGTAAGAAAAACCTGTAGTGCTACCGACGGCCGACATATGTATCCATTGCAAAGAAAACAAATATTCACAAAAATAACAATGATAATCATAGTCAGGGGGAATATTGTACAGGGGCAGTGAATAATTTTAACTATGAAACGAAAGAATAAAAGGATGCTCTAATGCTCTGGAACAGGTAATTCGTTCTGACGGAATGTACACCAACATCTCTTTTACAAGATCGAAAGCCAGGCGCTTGTAGAGGTCAGAATTAGAAAACCAGTAGTCACCAAGAGGTTTTAAAACTCTCCTAACATAACGAGACTCTGAAGAAGCAGGAGACCAATCTAACCGACCATGGCGAAAATAACGTCGTCGACGGGACACCTTTGTCATACATTTTGGGAGAGTCCCTAGTAAACGTTCCATCATAGCTAGGTGCTCAAGGTTATCATGTGTCATAAATAAACATTGTCCTGTCACCAATTCGTACAAAATACATCCTATAGACCATACGTCAGCAGATCGATCCCATCCAAGCTCCATAACAACTTCAGGAGCACGGTAGTGTCGTGTCTGTATGGTGGTCGAGTGGTGATCTTCATCGAAAGTGGCTGATCCGAAGTCTATGAGCTTTATGGATGGATTACGGATTCGTCGTACTGTCCTGCCACGATGGTTAACATAAACTTCGTCGTAAGTACCATCAACAAATAAAATATTCTCAGGTTTCAAATCTGTGTGTGTGAGCTTATTTCGATGCAAAAAGGCAACAGCCTCACACAACTGCCGGACAATTATTGCACATTGTTCAATGGTGTACGGTTCATAGTCATTTTTTTCAAGAAATGTGAAAACACTTGGACCAAGTAGAGGAAATACAATATAGAAGTGTTCATGCCATTCAAAGAAATCTATAGATGATATACAATGGGATCGATCTTTGGTATCTAATCTTGCAATCGTTTCTAAAACATTAACCTCGTGACGTGCAGCATCACTATAATCACTCTGAGGTTTAAGAGCCTTGACAGCAGTCAACGAATTTGTGTACAAGTCAAAACATTCAAAAACTTGCCCATAGCTACCCTCTCCTAGTATCTTCTCCACTCGAAAGCGTCGCTTGATAATGTCACCGACCGGTACAATAGCAGATGGTTTGCGTTTGTGGTGCTCATGACTAGCTTTCCTTCGTGCCTTTTCATCGCGACGCTTCTCTTCTCTCTTCCGACGTGCTATTTGCTTGTCGTCTCTGTCAGGGAGTCTCGGAGAACCAGAAAATTGCCCATTATGTAAATGAACCCGCATTGAATGCCCATCATGGATTTCGATACTTGGACTACGCTGTCGTTCTCGCTTAGTTGGATGGTGAGGCGGAGGTTTGGTAGCATGACTAGGAGCGATGCCACTGCAGGAGGAACTGTTAGAACGGTCTCGAGGACGGCCCTTATCACCAGAGATACGTACTGCCTTATAGGTGCTCGTTGTATGATTGAAATTAGGAAGTGATACATGGGAACTATGATTCAGCCTGAACCAACGGGGATAAAAACAATCACAGACTCAGTGACACGAAAGAAATAAAAACAAGGCTATTCAAAATCAAAAGTTTATATGTGTACCTTTTACTACGTTCTGAAACACGACGTCTTTTAGGGTCTGAACAACCATAACCAGAAGATGCTTTTTCGGATGTGCTGGACCGTTTTCGGTGACCAGCTGATGAAGAAGAAGTGGAACACACAGAATCCGATACATATCTAGTTTCCTTGTTTCTGAACAGAGAATTGAAGCAACAACGATGATTGCTTTTAGAACGCCAAACACGACTGTTATAATCCCCTCGTCTCAAGACCATCATCAAATAGGGCGCACTTCCACTTACTGCCAACAATATGGGTACCGTACTGATGTAAACAAACGAAGTAAAATCCTCAAGAGTTAAGACTGTTAACTTTTTGAACACCTTAGAAACTTATCGGTCGTTCTCATACTAAAAATACGAAGCTTTTTAAACATTTTCAGGAAACGTTTGGGGACGAACGATAAGATTATATGATTAAGAGAATGGAACTTCGTGACAGTTCGATAGTACTTCATTTTGAATCGGTAGGAATATATAAGTCCACTTTAGATATGTGGATTAGCAATGTATCCTGAAATACCTGCAAACAACCATCATCAAGCCATTTCGGACGTTCTATCCTATCCCCCAAATGCCCTGGTACAGCCGAGAGTGGGGAGAGTCCACTTCTTCTTCATCAGCTGGTCATCGAAAACGGTCCAGCACATCCGAAAAAGCATCTTCTGGTTATGGTTGCTCAGACCCTAAAAGACGTCGTGTTTCAGAACGTAGTAAAAGGTACACATATAAACTTTTGATTTTGAATAGCCTTGTTTTTATTTCTTTCGTGTCACTGTGATTGTTTTTATCCCCTAGGTATTTCCCTTTCGATTGATGACACAAAATACTTATATCTACCAGTAGCGCATACCACATATCAGTCTAAAAATTGTAGTTAACACAATAATGGCGCCGTTAATGTTCCAACTTGAATCTTGTTTCAAAAAGCACAGAAGCCTGCGACAACTAAGAACCACTTACTAGAAATACCTTAAGAATAGTGATTTATATGCTTATTATTTCAGTTATTTGACATAATCTGAGCTGATGATAGTAGCTGAGAGAGCTTTTCCGATTTCTTTAACTGCCGAAAACGCGTGGCGCTTCAGGTAAATCAAGGAGCGTGTCCCAGTGATTCGCGACAGAAGTCCTATATCCAGAATGTGTATTTCTCTTTTGCCAGTGAGAATGTAGCCGAATATCGTTTAATCGACGGTATTTTTTATATTTGATTAACGTGATGGAGTATGTCTTCGAAAGTTCGGGACTATGAGGTCCGATTTCAAGTTATGATTGTATGCAAATCAATTTGCTGACAGACAGCTAAGATTCACACCGGCACGACGTAGTAAGCAGAATATGATGACAATTAGCAGGAGATTCAAAACCAATGCTGACCGGAAATATTGTGTGTACTGTGATACAAAGGGAGGAAAACTGTATTTATAGTCCAGCTGCAATAACATGTGAGGAGTTATCAAGAAGGTCATGATTTGTTGTCGGAGTATGTTATAAAATTATAAAACTTAGTTCTGCAGATATAACTATATTTTTAACGGTCTACAATTTCATGTTGTTGGTAATGAAGACTGCAACTTTACAATCTGTACTGACACATAGACTTTTTTGGTCATAAGTTTTATCTAGGTTGAATCGTACCTAAAACTGGAACACCAAGTGCGTGTCTAATCCTATTCCAGTCTGTTATTCTTGATGTGCATTCATCCTAGCACTCGGTGAAGAAAAGAAGAAGGACAATTTCTCAATTATGGCTCCCCTGGGGAAAAGCAATCGAACCATGCTGGCCTACAGTTCTATCAGTAAAACTGAGTTGAGACATCCTACCGACAACTGGCGCTCGAATTTCAAACGGTTGGATCTGTCCCCTTTACAAGACAATATACAGAACGTGAACTAGGAAGTTCACCATAAACTTGATGTACATGCTCATTGGGATTTCCTACGGCACACAACCTTATGTGGCATAAAGCAGTCTGTTCCCCCAATGGTCCCCAAAATCCACAAGCAACCTACAGTCATCAATGATCGCACTCTTCGTTTGCTAAAGGTATTACTGGACAGTATACAAACGAAATGGTAATATTAGCACATATGGGCAACTCAAACAAGTAAGGAATATGTGCACAGAGGTAATAAGAGAAGACAGGCTTCAGTGTCAGATAAAGCTTATCGACGCTGAGAACATTCAGGCTACCGTCAGGTAGCACTTCTCTCAATAACCTCAACAATTATGAAGTCCTTGATATGCGAAAATCTACACTACTCCTTACCATCAATAGGCTTCTTTCCAATCCAACAGCACGGTTACAGGAAGAGTCACTGTTGTGTTACCGACCTGTTGGTCGCGGTGGACAGATGGACAATCATCCTTGACTGTAAGGTGATGGCTGACGTCATATACTTTGACTTCTCGAAAGGTTTTAACAAGATCAACTATATATATAATAATAATAATAAAATAATTGACCACATATCAGCTGAAGTGCTGAAAAGACTTCAGTGTATGCACAATGTCATTGCGTATAATGTACCTGATAGTACGAATCTAAAGCTTGCTAAAAATACTCTACTACAAGAATGTGGACTGTCGCAATCTTGGTGTGTAGCGAGAAGATTACGTAAAACACAGACTAAAGCCTCTTGTCCCATTCTATTTCAGTTTGGTAGTATCATAGAAGCCAATCACCTCCTTAAAAGCCAGTCTTTACTGAGGCGCATTCCAACCTTTAAGAAAGTTAGAATCACCCATGACAAGACTGCCATCCAACGTCGAAACTCCAATGAAGTGCAAAGCAATCAATCCAGCCTTAGTGGTAGCGGCAGTTACAACGTTGGCCATAGCGCTATCCCTAAAACACCATACCCCACCCCTCCCAAAAACGGAGGCACGCCGCATACTGCTACTAGTCCTAAGAACAAGACTAAACACCAGGCAACTGTAACCATTCACCTTAAACCCAAACACTCAACTATAACAAAATGCCCACCCACCTATGCATCTACAGTTTCAAAACACTCTTCTTGTGGCTCTGATGAAAAGCCAATACCCAAGCCTCACATCAATCGCTCTAATAGCTATAACCACCCAAACACTGCAATGCGAAATAATACCAAATTCTCTCTAAACACCCATAAGTACTCCAGATCTCTCAATACACAA